GCCAAAGGTGGATGTGGACAGCTGGGGCCCTCAGACAGGCAGCCCAGAGATGGGCCCTCAACCCCACCCACATCTCCTTGTCCATGTGACCCCCTCCCTTCATTGCCGCCACCCCAACTCTACCCCAGTTCTCGCCATAGAAGCAGGAAATCTGAATTGGGCCATAAAAAAAAATTGAACAGCAAAGGTCCAGAGAAATGACACACATAAAAACAACCTTGACTCAAAAGCAGACGCATGAACTTTGAAAATACAAATCTCCTTCCAGCTAAACAAATAGAACCAGTCCAAGAAATGGCGCACATGAATCTTGAATGTGATGGAAGAAAAAGGCTCAGAGAAAACAAAAAATAGAACGGCGAGACAGAAAAATATTGCAAAAGGAATATAGGCTTCAGAGACAGCTAGCCTCTGTATCCTGCTTGTGGTGTTTGCACCACAACCTCCAAAACCCCTCCCTCCATTCATCCATCCTTCCACTCAGTACCTATGGAATGCCCTCCGTGTGCCAAGCGCTGTGTCAGGTCTGGGGGCGCCCATGCCTTTGAGCCATTCTGATGCCGATTCTGCCTCCTTGGTGCTCACAGCCCTGGAGCATGCAGACAAGAAAGTGGGACAGCCACCTGGCCAGTGTGCTGAGTGTCAAGGTTCAAGTATAAGCCACTGTGCAGATCGCGAGACCCAACCCAGAGAGGCTAAGCATTGTGATTAGGTGATTAAAATCCCAGAGACCTGGGAGACACCACAGGATGTTGTAGAAACAAAGCTTCTCTTCAATAATCATTGGAGAGACATGCCTTATTTAAAGTCCACAAGGAGGCAATTTGTAACATTTGGAGTCACCATGCAGACTAAAAGGAAATGATGGCTCCCACACACCTAAGCCCAGAGCAGCTTCCTCCTAAGCCCCAGGCCTGGAGTCTGAGAGGTCCACTGTAGATGACATGGTCCCCACACACGGGGGGGAACAGGGGAAGGTGAAGAAGGAGGAGTGGGCTCCTCAGGCAACCTGCTTGGCGACCGGTTCTTTGATCTTTTCCCCTGGCACATCTGGGTCACCTGGTGTCCTAGTCAGCTTTTTTTCACTGCTGTGACTGAGGGCACCCAACCAGAAAAAATGTAGAGGAAGAAAAGTTTATTTGGGGGCTCATGGTTTCAGAGGTCTCAGTCCATAGGTAGCAGGCTCCATTCCTTGGGGCTCAAGATCAGGCAGGACATCATGGCGGAAGAGTGTGGTAGAGGGAAGCAGCCCACACAAGGATCAGGAAGCAGAAAAAAGGAAGACTGTGCTCACCAGATACAAATATATACCCCAAAGCCACGCCCCCAATGCCCCACCTCCACCAGCCACACCTCCTGCCTTCAGTTACCAATCAATTCATCCCATCAGGTGATTAACTCACTGATTGGGTCAAGGCTCTTGTAACCCCAATCATTCCTTCTCTGAACCTTCCTTCATTGTCTTACATGAGAGCTTTTGGGGGACACCTCTGGCTAATGCCCAGAGCACGCTGTCCCCCACCCCAAACCCTGGATGCAGGAAGACACGTTGGGGGATTCTTACGGTCTTTCTAGAATTGAGAAGACAAATTACAGAGAGCTAGACTTGTCACGGGTGAATGTTATGTTTTGTTTTTAAGAAAGGAAGCAGTGTAAAAAACATGGGTTTAGAGTCAAATCCAGTGTTGTGACTTAGGACACAGATAATAAGTCCTATTATGAGGGGATACACACACACACACACACCTTATATTCACACATATGCATATGGATACATGTCTGTGCATATAAATATATGAATATGAACATGCATGGGCACTACAAATATATACACATACATATCTATAAAATACATGTACACCTGTGCAAATGCAGGAGTGTCTATATTTTTCTGTATTTCACTGCCATGCACATATACATCGTCTAGCATACAGCCTGATGCCTGCCTGTACTTGGGAAATCTTAGTATCCTTTTGCCATCGTGAGGCCCTTCTCGTCATTGACCTGGGGTGGCCCTTAAGCCTCCACGTGAGCTGAAGCACAGTAGCTGTGGGGTCTCTAGACCACCCTCCCCTCCCTCAAATGCTGTCACCTTCCCTAAGCAAAAATCATTAGAGCTCACTGCTGTACAGTGGGATGCAGCTCTTGGGGACCTGATGACGCAACTGGATGTCCCCCAAGATGGACCGCTGGACTGACTCCGCCCACGCCAGCCTTCATTTCCTTCCTAAGTGGACCCCTCCTTCCAGGGCTTGATCCCTACTTTCTCCTGCTCCTTCCCCTCGTCTCTGGCAAGAGAGCAGTGGGAGGAAAGAGTTAAGATGGACCTAGTGCCTGGTCCTGGGCTAAGGGCTCCTGGTGCCCAAGTAGAAAATTCCACACCCAACCTCATGTGATGGGTCATAGTTAAAACAGAGGCACACTGAAAATACTGTATAAGTCGGGCGTGGTGGCACACACCCATAATCCCAGTGGCTCTGGAGGCTGAGACAGGAGGATCACAAGTTCAAGGCCGGCCTCAGCAACTTAGGGAGGCCCTAAACAACTCAGCAAGACCCTGTCTCAAAATAAAATATTAAAAAAGGCTAGGTATGTGGCTCAGTGGTAGAGCACCCCTGGGTTCAATCAATCAAACAAACAAAACTGTAGACAATAAAAATCACCCTCAGGCTGTGTGGGAAAAGTATATCTGAAACATAAATGAATTTTGTGGATTATTTTGTGACCTATCCCATGATATCTCATTATGTGTATGCAAATATTCCAAAGTGTCAAAAAAATGATATCTGAAGCATTTCTGGTCCCAAGTATTTCAGGTGAGAAATATTCAACCTGTACTAATCTTTCCTTTTTTTTTTTGGGGGGGGGGGTAGGGTACCAGGGTTTGAACTCAGGGGCACTCGACCACTGAGCCACATCCCCAGCCCTATTTTATATTTTATTTAGAGACAGGGTCTCACTGAGTTTCTTAGCGCCTTTCTGTTGCGCAGGCTGGCTTCAAACTCATGATCCTTCTGTTTCAGCCTCCCAAGCTGCTGGGATTACAGGGAAACTGATTTTGTGTGAAGGATTAAGCCATTGGAGAAAAATTGTTCCATGAGAATCATCAACTCTAGATGTCCTAAAATTAATATATTCATCCTAGTGTTTACATAGGCCATAAAATACTCTTTTTAAAAAAGTATTTATTTTTTAGTTGTAATTGGACACAATACCTTATTATTTTTTTTAGAATATTAAATATCAATTTATTTATTTATTTTTTTTTTAATTTTTTATTGTTGGTTATTCAAAACATTACATAGTTCTTGATATATCATATTTCACCCTTTGATTCAAGTGGGTTATGAGCTCCCATTTTTACCCCATATACAGATTGCAGAATCACATCAGTTACACATCCATTGATTTACATATTGCCATACTCATGTCTGTTGTGTTCTGCTGCCTTTCCTATCCTCTACTATCCCCCCTCCCCTCCCCTCCCCTCCCCTCTTCTCTCTCTGCCCCCTCTACTGTCATTCATTTGTCCCCCTTGTATTATTTTTCCCTTTCCCCTCACTTCCTCTTGTATGTACTTTTGTATAACCCTGAGGGTCTCCTTCCATTTCCATGCAATTTCCCTTCTCTCTCCCTTTCCCTCCCACCTCTCATCCCTGTTTAATGTTAATCTTCTTCTCATGCTCTTCAACCCTACTCTGTTCTTAGTTACTCTCCTTATATCAAAGAAGACATTTGGCATTTGTTTTTTAGGGATAGGCTAGCTTCACTTAGCATAATCTGCTCTAATGCCATCCATTTCCCTGCAAATTCTATGATTTTGTCATTTTTTAATGCAGAGTAATACTCCATTGTGTATAAATGCCACATTTTTTTTATCCATTCGTCTATTGAAGGGCATCTAGGTTGGTTCCACAGTCCTAATCTTTCCTTTTACAGGTGAGAAAACGGGGGCTTCCAGAGGTTAAGTCATAAAAGGTCATAAGCTGGCACAGGGTGGTCCAGGCATCCTGGCTGCTGAGTCTAGGATCCCAGTCCCTCAGCTGCCTCTTAACCAAGGTGCCCTCCAGGGTAGAGAAGAATTAGAGGAATTTAGTGATATTTAAAGGCAAGAATCACCAGGACCTGGCGAACAGTGAAACAGGCTCAGAGAGTCAGAGGTGACAGGTATGTTCTGGTGGAGTGACCAGTGGACGAGGCCTTCTCCATCCATGGAGGGAACAGAAGAGCAGCAGGTGACTAGGGAGGGGCCCGGAAGTGATGCATTCAGGGAGGGTCACATTGATTCTGAAAGGCCTTTGGTGCCACCAAGCCCAGGTGTGTGGGTTCACAGGGTAATCATCACCCATTATTTAACAAGTATTTATTCAACACTTAGTTTGATAATATCATGCTCCAGGCCCCGCACAGGCCAGAGCCTGCTTCTGAGGAAGACACCCCATTTCCCATATTTATTTCTGATAACTTCTCTGATGTTGTCTTATTTCTTCCTCCAAAATTTCCATTCCCATCAATCGTCACTTATCACAGATTGCCAGAGCCTGTGGCTACAATGACAGTTCCGCCACTCCCACGGCTGTCTGCGCGAGGCAGGACTCTTTCGGGTCTCTGTGTCACAGGGGAGTATTGGGGAGGGGGTGGAATTGGAAATTCTTATCTCTTTGTCTATCGTAAGAGCCTCCTGCGCAGGCCAGAACCAGTGGCTAGATGCTGCAATGCAGAGACGGGACAGCATGGGCCCCAGCTGGGGAGGCCCGGGAGCCACGCCTCTAGGACCAGGCCACCTTGCAGAGCTGTTATGGGGGAAGGTGAGGCTGATGGAGAGAAACCTCCAAAGCCACTGATTTTGCACCTGATTGTGCCGAAGGGAAGCCACTCCCAGGCTGAAGTCACTTCACATCTCTGAGCCTCACTTCCTTATCAGCAAATGGAGATGCTGATGCCTCCTGCAGACGGACTGGAAGGGGATTCCCGCAGGAAACGGGTTGCAAAGTGCTTGGCACACAGTAGGACCTCTCCCCTGTCAATCATTCTGGCATTCTTGATTATTAGCAAGGGCTTCCTTGTCCACTGATGCTGACGAGACACTTGTCCTTCTGTAAGTATTGGTGGGTGTGTATGAGGGTGCAGGTGGCTCTTGGGATTTTTCTATAGGTGTGGTACGTCTATATCAGATGATAGACGTTTTGGATTAATCGTATTGATGTAATTTTGTACATACAAGTAGGTCATAGTTATAGCCCTCCACACTTTGGATTTCTATAGAAAAGACCAAAACTCCATGGAAAGTTTTAGAAAGTGGCCCACATTCCATGCACATGAGCCCGCCTCACTGTCCCTTCCTACCTTTATATTCATGGATGGTCATATCTTCCAATAAAGGCATCATAATCTACTCATTGCTCTATACTGGGCTTTTTGCATCTAACCATTCCACAAATGCCTTTATGTGTGTGCGTGTGTGTATGTGTGTTTAATGTTTGTGTAGATAAGTTTGGAGAGATTTATAATAATCCATTGCACTAATGTATAATTAGTTAAGAAAGCACAGCCTGACTTTATTTATACTTATTTATTTTGGGGGGGTACCAGGGATGGAACTCAGGGACAGACTCTTAGTCACTGAGCCACATCCCTAGTCCTTTTTATATTTTATTTAGAGAGAGGGTCTCGCTGAGTTGCTTCGGGCCTTGCTAAGTTGCTAAGGCTGGCCTTGAACTGTGATCCTCCTGCTTCAGCCTCTGGGATTACAGGTGTACACCACCCCTGCGCGGCCACAGCCCAACTTTAAACATTTCCGTCTTGGCTTGTGATTCTTTCTGGATAAGATAGGACAGGACAGGATCCTTTGTAACAGAGCCTACATCCTTTCTGGGCACTCAAGGGATCCTTTTCCTCTGGAAGAGCCCACTCTCTCTGTCATTTAAGGCTCCGCTGAAGATTAGGGTTTGATTTCAGAACTGTGTCATTTCTTTCTTTCTGGTTTGTGTGGGCGGACTTTTCCTATCTGAGAAGCAAAAGTGACAATTCCAACTGGTTGCTTTTTAAACAAGTGGGGAGAGAAGAATTATTATCTGCTACCAAAATAACAGAAGAGATAAAAGGAGCATCCAGTTGAACATAATTAAAATAACCACCACTATATTTTTTTTTAGTACTGTGTATGTGGCAGGAAGTGTACATTTAACACAATGTACCTTCACAACAACCTGATGAGTTAGGTGCAGTCTTATCCGTGTTTTGTAGAAGAGGAGGTTGAAGTCAGAGAAGTGACTTTAGCCAAGTTCTTTTTAATCAAGAAGTGACTTGAACCTGGATGGTCTGACTCCAGAGCCCGGTTCCAGGTCGCGATCCCTATTTATGAATTTGATGTCCTTCAGCAGTCATTTGGCTGCTCTGAGGCACAGTTTCTTACTTGAGAAGTGCTAGTGACATGTCCTGTCTCCAAGAACGAACATGAAAATTAAGCACAAAGATTTTTGTGAACACGAGGTGTTTGCTCAGTAACAGTATTGTCCCCTTTTCTTCCTGTTCTCACACTGCCCCATACCCAGTCAGTTTTTTCTACTAAATTGTCAGGCTTCACAATGGTCTTGTTATTTTGGCTTGTGAGCTCATTTTTCCCTGGGAGTGAGAGGCCAGATGCTACCTATTTCTTTTATTATTTTTAAAAAATATTTTTATTAGTTTTAGATGGACACAGAATGCCTTTATTTTATTTATATTTTTATGTGGTGCTGAGAATCGAACCCAGTGCCTCACACCTGCGAGGCAAGCCCTCTACCACTGAGCCACACCCCCAGCCCCCAGATGCTATCAGTGAGTAGTGGGAGGTGAGCCTTGGGGACCCCAGGATCAAGAAAACACCTAATGAGGCAACTCTCAGGTCATCTCAGGTAACTTCTCCCCTAGGGAGAGGTACATTAGGAGAACACCCTCCTCAGATGGTAGTTTCACTCTTCTAGAAGCCCCGGATATTCTGGGCTGCCTCCCGCCCAGGCCCAAATCAGCATGGCCTTCTACCCTTCCCTTCACCCTTCACAGCTGCACCCAACCCCAGAGGTTTCCCATGGTTTTCAGTTTTCTCTTTCTGGCTCTCTGGAGTTGACCTTGGGAAAGGGGTCAAGCAGTCATGCTTGCATAGAATCCTGATGGGAAATGGAACCTAGAAACTAACCTCTATTTTCTATCCCTTGAGCTTTTGACATCTCACATCACTCATTCCACGGGGCCTCCACCCTTCCAAGGTGCCCTGGTAACCATGCGTGCACACACCCAGAGTGTGCAGACCAGGCCTCTCCTCCAGCCCTGCCAGGCCCCGGGCAGAGGGAACCGGAAGGCCTAGCTCTGCTCTTGCTTGGCATGAGCTCCTCCATCTGGGTTCACCAGATCTGCCTGTTCTTCCTAAGGCTTTGATGTTCCCGTTTCCCTTAGATAGCACAAGACACCTGAATTTTTTTTTTTTTCCTGGTACTTTTCCTGCTTTCTAAAAATATTCATTCATTTGCCACATATTTACAGCACATCAGCTATTTGCTAAACACCGTGCTAAGTGAAAACTTGAAGTGGTTTCTGTTTCTGTCGCTTACAACGGAAAATGTCTCTGCTCAGATACCAGGTGTTAGGTTGTTTATTTTAGAGACAGGAATGTGAGGAGCCAAGAGCACAGCCAAGCCCCAACACAGAGCCCTGGACGGGTGAGTGTGGAGCTGGGGAAGGTCCTGTCTGAGCTCTTCCCCTGCACCTCCTGCCTCTGGGCAACATTGTCTAAATTTCTCTGCATTCTGCTAAGATCATCAGGATGTGCACGTACTAGTATGTTCTCCCAAGGGAGAGGCATTCAGAATCTCCCAGGAGAGACTGAGGAATTGAATAATATTCTTAACTTTTAACAAACTCTTGCATAGTAATTACAAAATGAACTTGGGGAGCCAACAGATATGAGCTGATTCTCACTGTGTCCTTTTCTGGGTTGCTGACCTTGATGAACTTACTTTCTGAGCGTCAATGTTCTTCTCTGTAAAGCGGGGCGAATTATCATTATAGTATTACTGTGATTGTCATAGGGTCCAATGAGACACTGCACGTGGGCACTGAACTTGACATACCTGGCATTGCGTCAGTGTCCATGCACACTGTGAGTGAGATGGTGATGATGGTGAAGGAGAAGGAAGAGGAGGAGAAGGACAAAGGGATTGGTGGGGTGAGCTGTCAGTCACAGGTGACTTCCTGTTATCCCTGGTAAGTTCACCTTTGCAATTGTTCCTGCTGAAGACCTTTGAGGAACATGAACCAGGTATGTGATGGTGCCCAGGGTGAGCTGTCCTGCAGACCAGCTGAGGCAGAGCCAGCAAGGTGTCCTAGGTCAGGCAGAGACCCCACGTGGGACCTTTATAATTTTGCCAAGGCAATGGAATCTGGGGGGGGGGGGGCGGTGGAGGTCACTGATCTTTTAACCAAAGGCAGAGATGCCCATCCCCGTGGGTCCCTTCTGGAAGTCACCCTGGAGCTCATCTGCCACGCAGTTGCTGTGAGAACCTCAGCCATTGGTGAAAGCTATCTCCTCTATGTCTCGGGTTCCACTTTGGCATTTGAGGTAGGAGCATAGGGAAGGATTCAGTATCCAAGGAATGGACCAGAGCTCCAGTCTGGAGGGAAACCCTAGGTGTCAGAGGAGACAAATCACTTAATTTCTGTAAATGGGCCAAGTTACATTCCTCAGCCTAGATCGCAAAGCAACAACCCCTCACGGATAGCTACGGAGTGTATTTTTAAAATCTGGAGGTTGTTGTATAATTTAAAAAGTTTAATATCTCATACAATAAAAGATAATATATTATTTAAATATGTTTTCTCCCTATAAAGTATCTGAGGTAGGGAGGGAGGGAGAGAGAGAGAGCAATCAAAGATAGAGATGGAAGCAGAAAGCTTTCAAATATCATTCAATGCCTAAATGTCATCAGCTTAAAAAATTCAACAGAATTCTCCTTCATTCTTTCCCACAGGGGGCTACCCTTTAAACAATGACCTTTAAAAAAAAATCCCAAGCAAACAAACAGCTCTGCTACTGATGACATATGTCCTTTATCAGCATGGACATTCCCCTGCCGACAGCCTACATTTATCAGACCTAATGCCCAGGATCCTGGGCAATAATAGATCCTGGGATCTCACAGATTCTTGTGGACCCCATCTGTCTGGGGTGATTCAGGCCTTGGTTCTTCCAAGAGGAGGTGAATTAAGTAATCGTCATTTCCTGTGGTTGTAAAAATTCCATTTTTGACCTTCTTTTAGCTGCGGTGATTTATCTGTAGACTCTGGAGGGGAGTCAGGGCTGGCATGCAGAGAAATCTGCAAGAGAACTCATCAATGAAACTGCAGGTGCTTCCTCCCCAAGACTGCAACCAAGGGATCGGAGGCCAGGGCTGCGTTGTGGAAAGGGCATGATACTTAAAGTCTGAAGCCAGGGGTTGGTGTCTTGGGGTCAATAATAAGCTCCCAGAGGGAGATGCAGGGCCAGAGAGAGAATCTTCCCAGACAACAGCCAACGAAGGCAGGTGTTTTGCAGGCTTCCCAGAGGAGCTGGAAACCCTCTTGGGAAACCCAGGTAGTGAGAACTCTCCTTGAAACTGGAGTTTTTAAAAAATTGATTTAAGTAATTTATTTGTTCTAATTTGTTCTACATGACAGCAGAATGCATTTCAACTCATAGTACACATACGGAGCATAATTTTTCATTTCTGATTGTATACAAAGTAGAGTCACACCGTTTGTGTCTTCATACATGTACCTAGGGTAATGGTGTCCATCTCATTCCACCATCTCTCCTACCCCCCTGCTCCCTCCCTTCCCCTCCCCCGCCTTTGCCCTATTGAAAGTTCCTCCATTCCTCCCATGGTATCCTCCACCACCATTATGGATCAGCATCCACTTATCAGAGAAAACATTCTGCCTTTGTTTTTTTGGGATTGGCTTACTTCACTCAGCATGCTATTCTCCAGCTCCATCTATTTACCTGCAAATGCCATAATTTTATTCTCTTGTAACGCTGAGTAATATTCCATAGTGTATATATACCTCAGTTTCTTTATCCATTCATCTATTGAAGGGCCACTAAGTTACTTCCACAATTTTAGCAATTGCACACTGAGAGACTGATCCTTCTTTGTCCTTGAACATATTGATACAGGAAATGACCTTGACAGCCTAGACCAGGGTGGGGTCAGGGCAGCTTGGGTCAAGTTTCAGCAGCCTCTGGAAGGGCCCAACACAGAGAGTTATTTTTCTTTTCTTTGTTTAAATTGTTCTGTAGTTGTAGATGGACAGAATGCCTTTATTTTATTTGTTTATTTTTAGGTGTTGTTGAGGATCCAACCCAGTGCCTCACACGTGCTAGGCAAGGGCTCTACCGCAGAGCCACAACCACAGCCCAGAAATATTTTTCTTAACTAAGGGACTTACCCATTGCAGATCAGGAGGAACTAGAAGTGAATTATCAGAATTTGACTGTACATAGCATGATTGCAAATATTCTATTCTCATAGACTGCAAATATTGTCTATCTTCAAAGAGTCCAGTAGGGCAGCCCTTTCCGGCATTCAGGGGCAGGCTGTGAATGGTGCTTGCAGTCTCTAAATCTCTTCCTTCATTCTCTCTCCAATCCAGTTATCTACCGGCTCTTGTCAAGGCCATTCTCAGTTCTTATTTTACCTGGACCCTCAAAAGCCCTGGACTCACGGTCACTCCTTCCTTCCGGGGGTACTCTCTTACCCTGGTTTCGGGCTGCTGTGTTTCCCCGATGTTCCTAACTCCCCCCACCCACCCCTATTTCTTCTCAGTGCTCTTTTCTGGGTTCTCACCTGCCCGACATTGTAATGGAGTGTTCTGGAGCTCATCATTGGACTTTCTGCCTTCTTCACCTACATCCCTTTCCTGGGGATCCGGTCCAGTGCTGTGGCTTTGGCAACCACCTACAGGTCGAATCATAGAGATCACCATTTTTTCAGGTCTGAACGGCTGGATAGCTACACTTTCACATGGTGAAAACCACATGCTGTCTTCCGAGAGCTCCAGATACCTCCACCTACCTGCTTATTGGGTTGCATATTTTCTCTTGCATGTCTAAGAGACCTTGCAAGAAGAGTTTGATCACAGCCAAGTGGTGATAGCCCCCGCCTTTCCTGTCACCTCCCATCAGACCTGCTTCCTCAGAGCTGGGGATGGAGCTCAGTGGTAGAGTGCTGGCTTAGCACGTGCGAGGCCCTGTGCTCCATCCCCAGCGTGCATACACACACACACGCACGCACATGCACACACACGCACGCACACACACGCACACACACGCATGCATGCACACATGCACACACACATAAACGCTCTGCTTCTCCTGTGTGTTTGCTTATTTCAATTAATGGTAACTCCATTGTTTGACTTGTTCATTTGAAAGAATCCTTGAATCCTGTGTTCCTCTGGTACGGAGATCAGTCTGTGAACCCTGTTGACTCTCACTTCAGAATATATCCGACCCTGGCCAAGTAGCCATCACCACACGTTGGCCCGAAGCATTATCCTCTCCTGCTTGGCTTTTGCCAGAGCTGGCTAACTGGTCTCCTTGCTTCTGTCTGCACTGTCCCCTGAAGCCGTCGGAAGACTCCTGTTAACCCATCATTTAGATCATGTCAATCCTTTGCTCAAAATCCCTACTCGGGGCTTACCAACTGACAGTAGAAGTCAAAGTCCTTACACGGATATCTCTGTCTCTACAGAGATCTGGTCACTGTTTCTTCACTGGCCTTAACCCTGGACATCTCCCTCTTACACAGTGTCAAGGTGCCCGGGGATGAATGCTATCCCCAAAGGTCAATTCTCATTTTACTCGAATGCTCAAGTCAAATAACCTCAGTCACATTGACCTCTTTGTACTTCCAGATGTGCTTTTGCCACAGGGTCTTTGCACTGGCTACTTTTCCTGCCTAGAACATTTCTCCACAAAAGAGCTGTGTGGTTCGCTCTCTCCTCTCCTTCCAGGCTTTGCTTCGATACCACTTCTCGCGAGACCTTCCCTGACAGCCCATTTCAAAACTGGACAGCGTTTCTCCTTTCCGTTTTGTCTCTTCTCAGTCTCCCTGGAGTAGCAGGGGGTTTCTCTATATTTTGCTCATGGCTGTAACCCATCACCCAGGACAGTGTGGTGCACGCAGTGGTGTTTAATCCATGCTTGTGAAATCCACCGCTAGGTACTAAGTCTGTTCGTGGGAGGATGGATGTCGGCCAAAGGCCTTTGGGTTTGTTCAGGAGTAAACAAAGACTGTAGGTAGACAGGGGGAATGTGGCCAGGCCTCAGAGAGCAGCCGTACCTTGTATGGCTTGTCAATGCTTTGGGATCCCCTATTTCTGCTACCTGATACCTCATGCCATTCCTCATGCTAAATGCTGTGGGTACAAAGGGCACAAAGCCAGACTGGCACTTGCCCTCACCGAGCTTGTGCTAAGTGAGGGAGATGCACACCCATGCTAGTGTGAGATGCTAATCCAATGGCCACACAGGCCTGCGTAGACACAGCTCAGACAGGGATGTGAGGGAGAGGGGCTCGCTGCACCCAGGGCTGGGTCGGGAGCAGGCTTCTTAGGGGAGGTGAGACCTGAGCTCAGATGAGTGGGGGATATACTTTGGCTGGACCAAAAACCAGCAGCCTGCTCCTCTAGCTGGGCCACTGGGTGCAGCAGTGGGCACTGACGCCTGCCAGGCCAGTCGCCGTCCTTCCCTGAGGGTTTTCTAACTGGAGAAGGGGGAATGTGACTCTTCTCGGGTCACGGGGCTTCAGGCAGAGAGCCCCGAGCTGCTGATGAGCAGGGTCCTGCTGGAGGTGAGATCCAGGCCACAGGAGAAGGGAACTAGACGTGGTGGGTGGAGAGTTATGGTAGGTTACAAGGTCCCTGCCCCAGTGTCCCCCCAGATGAGTTCTATCCCTGCTCTTGAGTTGACCATGGATTGGGCTGATACATGGGGTTTTATGAGCCAATCCACTGACTCAGTGGTTTCGCTTTGGGATTTCTGTCCTTGCCACACATAAGCATCCTGACCAACCGGCTTTACCCCCTTAGAGGGACAGCGGGCTGGACAGGTAGCAGGCAAGTCCCCAGGAAGAGGAACCCAGCATGAAAAAACCTGGGTACACCTTCTCAGCTTCCTCCCACTTTCTCAGTCCTGGATTCTCTCTCAACAAGGGCCGTGTCTGAGGCAGGCTGCCCATGGAGGGTAGCAGAGGTGGCCGGGCCTCGGATGTGGGCATCTGG